ATTTAATACCCAGCTTAAGACAACTTTTTCCTACCCTATAATTCTAATACAAAGCTTGGTGTTTTTTCAGTCAATTTTAGCCTACAATGGTGGTGCAGTGGTGGCGATGAAAGGTCAAGACTGTGTGGCCATAGCTACGGACAAGCGATTTGGTATACAAGCTCAAACCATATCCACAAACTTTCCCAAAGTCTACCAAATGGGGCCCACTTTGTATGTCGGTCTACCTGGCTTAGCAACTGACACACAAACTGTATTCCAAAGGCTTAAGTTCAGGTATTGTTTTATATTACAATTAGTTTGTCACAAAGTCATGAAAAGTTGCCAGCAACATTTTCAATTCATTTGACTATTCCCATCTAGTAAAAGAGTAACTCTATCTCTACAATTTTGATATGTTCTCTATTTATATGAAATTTTGTATATAAACTACTTTGCTTAAAAAGATATTTTTAACAGTGATATAATCAGTATCTTACTAATGTTATAAATGCATATGTTTAAATGGATGTATGGATGTATGTTTGAAGGCATCTAGGGAACGGCTGAATGGATCATGCTGTAATTTGGCATAGTCATAGAACATAGTCTGGAAGAACACATCTAGCTTATCTGTTGATGGAGTCACAGGCAACAGCTAGTATTTTTATATCGAATCAAACTCAACATGTGAGTTTGTGGTACTAGTATTAATAATATTTTGTTTTACATCTGGCAATCTGTGTCCATTTAATTTCAGAATGAATTTGTATGAGTTGAAAGAAAATAGAGTAATGAGGCCGAAGACATTCTCAGCCATGTTGTCCAATTTACTGTATGAGAAGCGTTTTGGGCCATATTTCATTGAGCCTGTCATTGCCGGCCTTGACCCCATTGATAATCAGCCTTATGTCTGTAACATGGACCTGGTAAGTGTTAATTTATTAATATAAATGTGAATGTTCAGATGGATGGATGTTTGTTAGTAGGTATCTCCAAAGTGACTGCATGGATCTCACAGAAATTTGGCATATATGTAACACAGTTTGGAATCATACATAGGCTATAAATTTTTTAATTCTACATGAGAGAGTTGCAGACGCTGGCTAGTTGCTTATAAAAATATATATGCTGTTCAAAGCATACATTTAATTGCGCTAAAATAGATTTATGTTGCAAAAGTGGCTGCTTTGCAAATTCTATTGATAGTTATATAGACACATTATTATTAAAAGCATTTATCAAAATATAACAAATGTGAAATTGGTTATTTACATTCAATTTTTGTTAAAAATTTAAATCTTTATTTTGTACAGATTGGCTGCCCCAATGAGCCAGAAGATTTTGTAGTATCAGGAACATGTTCGGAACAGCTGTATGGTATGTGTGAAGCGCTGTGGGAGCCCAATCTCAAGCCTAATGAGTTGTTTGAAACTATCTCACAGGTGAGATCTTATAACTATTTCAACTATTCAAAAAACCCAACTGTCTAGGTGTCTGATACAAATTAAGACTTACTGTAGAGTGTCAAAAAATTGAGGGTGTCGGTGGCTCAGTGGTTAAGCCCTTGACTAGTAATCTGCAGGTCCTGGATTCAAATTCCGCCATGTACCAGTGTGATTTTCGATATTCCATTTACATATGTACATGTATCCAATGTTCTTACAGTGAAGGAAAACATAGCAATGCAACCTGCACATATCTGAGAAGTTCATAGATATGTGTGAAGTCAACCAACCCGCACTTGGCCAGCGTGGTTGATTATGGCCTAGTCACCCCTAACTTAGAGTAGGCTCCGAGCCCCTCAGTGAGGATGTAGTGACCTGATGATATAACTGTCAAATCCTTACTCATCTAAATCAGTTCAGAGACAGGAATGAAACTTACATTCAACCTTCATAGATAAACATTAAAATCATTAGCCTAAATTGTGTAACTCGAGTGAAGTTAGTTTCTATGTAGTTAATTTACAAAGTCTGATAAAAAGTACTTATGTGATGGGGATTTTGAATATATTCTGTTCTTAATTTTAACATCCAATATGATATTAACAGGCTCTAGTTAACGCAGCAGACCGGGATGCTATCTCCGGTTGGGGTGCGGTCGTCTACATCATCGAGAAGGACAAAATCACAGAGAAACATGTCAAGACAAGAATGGATTAATTTTTTGTGTATATTTTCTCTCTTTTTAATAAACTTAATATTATAAATAGGTTGCTTTTATTATTTACTAGCTGTCACCCGCGATTCCGTACGCGCTGAATTAAAAAAAATAGTTCGTGTTCTTCCAAACGATGTCCTTACATCTGTACCAAATTTCATAAAATCCATTGAGCTGTTCCGGAGATACCTTCAAACAAACATCCACCCATCCAAACATTCGCATTTATATTAGTAAGATTGAAAAAATGTTTTATAGGAAGCTTTAGTGACGTCAAACAGTATTGCCATGTGCAAACTTAAAATTTTTACCATCGTTCATATTGCGGTTCCATTCCTTTAACTAAAACGTTACATGTTTTTGTCGTGATTTATGGCGAGAGGTTTTTTATATTTTGTAATTAAAAGTATCACAGGGTAGGCTATCTAAATAAATAAAACGCTTGTGCTTCAGAAAATTTATAAATCGAATATTACAAAATTAAATGTTTTTAAATTTTTATTCAATACACATTTTTTTGTCTTTACAAGAGTTTGGGAGACTAGAGATGTAAACATTATAATTTCGTAAACAACGCATCGGTCAGGTTCAGAGCGAAATCCGTAATAAATACACGGCGTACTTGCAACACCGTTAACAAAACTTATCAGTATAAAATAACTACTAATTTAAAAATACAACTACCGACCTAAACAATGGCAACACATTGACTAACATTGTTTAGAAATGTCAAAGAATTTAAATTTAGACATCAAACTGGTGCTTCTGTGCACAATATTACAAAAATCGATTTAAAAAAATGTTTATTCATTGCTAGAAATAATCGGTTATAATTTTAAGCTTATATATTTACCAAAAGACATATTTTTTTTTTGGATAATTTAAATTGATAAATCTTATTAATTATATGAAATATTTGGAAAAAAAGAACGATTGTCGATAATCGTTGAAGTTTTCTTAATAGTATCTATCACATAAGCCATTTATAATTTGAACAAGTCCAATAAATAAAAAAAAAACATAATATTAATTATATAATCACAGATATATAACCTATATATATTAAATACAAATTTGACGTCTAATCAAAAGCCAATTTTCCAAATAGAATTTTGTATTGTAAACCAACACAGGAAATTTACTTTAACAAAAGGGCCCTGAGGGCCTTATTTTAGTCTTAATTTTGTGCTCCTTGTTAAGTATCTATAGGTTATAAATCTATGTATACAATATTATTTTGTGGAATTGTCAAAATTCCAAAGACAAATTCCACTACAAAAAGATTAAACACACTTCCTAAAATTGGATAACACCAATTAAGAGAAAAGATATCGTTGTTTTTTGTGTTGCCAACTTTAAAAAAAATTAAACATAATCTTAATTATAAAAATAATACACATTGTACAATAGCAACTGTTCACCAAATCTTTAACTAAGATATGAAAGTTTAAAAGTAAACATAAAAATGATCAAATAAAAAAAAACAGTCGATTTAAATTATAAAAAAAACAGTAAAAATAATACCAAATGCGTTACCGCAACCGTTATTTGAAATTACTAAAATCCTGCTAACATTCCGACTGTCGAACCCAGAGACGTTAAATCAATAAATTGGTTCCTAAGTGTAGATTCATTATGAGACATACATTAAGAAACTAATTTATTAACCGAGACTCTACAGAAATTCTTAATTAGTATTAATAAATAACAAAATCTTACACCGACAACTTCAAACTACACTACACAGAAACTAAGCTTTTATTGGCATAGTGCTGTAGAAATTACAAGCAAAAAACTCTGAATATCGAAGAGTACAAAAATGTATTTAATATAATGAAATACACAATTTTATAATTAGTTTATATTTAGAATTAAAACAGCCATGAATCGTCTAACAAACTTTACAATCGAACTCCATTCAACGAAGTAAACACGTAGCCAATTTATAACATTTGAAAATTTTAATTTTAACAATTATCACTATCAAGTACATACTACCCGGCCATAATAACATGGCATTTGGATCCGATTACGTCACAAGTGCGACATGACAAGATTATTAACTCTATTGTATTAAAGCATATTTTCATACCAATATTAGTTTGAAGAGGTCGGTTCGCCCCGTGCAATACCACAACCACGAACAAGACACGCCTCAAATGGCGACGAGTGTGCTGGAGACCTAATTTTACTCCTGTTTTCCCATCCTTTTCCTATAAGGAAATAATGGGAAGGGAAAGTAGATTTGGCAGAGGAAGGGACGCACATGAAGAGTAAATTTCCTTTTTCTGCGTGTCGAGGTAAGTGTAAAGGTAGGTAATGCATTTACAAATGCGAGCAACTATGCGTAGCAGTCTCTTCGCTATTTCGGTGAACTCAGGTGGCGGAGTTACGACGACTGCGTAGCTCGCGCAAGTCGCATGTTATTGAGACCGGGTAGTACATTATACAGTCAATAGTAAACTAGCTGATAGCAGAACGATATAAAAGCTATAACAAGTTATGAATATTATTGCAGAATGCTCTTTATTTGATATCAGTTCGAGAAGAGCAAATACAGCGCAGGATACGGTGAATTCAAATTTTTTTACCAATCTAATTAAAAAAATATATATACTATGAATATTTTCACTCCTCTTACCAGATGGGAAGGGGAAAATTGAGGATTTTTTGTTCTCTTTTCATCCCCTTGCCACACCTTTAAATGTCAACAGTAACTAATCAACTATTTGCAAATGCACAGTTCAAACTACGATTTTTAGTCCAAATAAAATGATTGAAAATCGATAATTATATTTACTTTTACATCTGTGAAATGGCAGTGACTTCTTAAGTTTTAATAACATAAAATCCTCAAAAAAATCCACCGTCCTACGCTGCGATTGTCTAAGGTATAATTCTCTTTCCACCTAGCATCGCATATCTTACAGAAAAATGTCACAATAAGAGAAATTTTCCAACTAATTGTATTGCATTGAAATGACATTCCACCGAAATGGGTAGGAAATAAATGTCCTCGACTGTATTGTACCGAGAATTTGTATAGTTCTTTTCAAATGTCTTGGTGCTCTCCTCGACACCCCTCTACGCCCCATAACAATGTATTAAGTGTATGTGTTAAGCCGCCAAGATACTTGAAAACTAATATACCAGATCAACCTCTGGTATATTGGGCCGGCGAGCTGTTGTAGTATTTGCCGTCGCCAGATTGTAATTTACCTAGGCAAATTGTAAGAGTCACGGTAAGATGCTACCATAATATCAACGAAAACACTAACGTTCATTATAAACATCAATTTGGAACGTGATACATGATTGAATACAATGATACTAATACATTTCGTATCTTCTAAACCACTGTAGATAAATCTAGACCAACAGAAAGAGGTAGATTGACAATAAAGTCTTTTACGTTCCTGCCGTTTAAGAAAAACCTATACTAAAGGTTTAAATTCATAGACTTACTGCCCCACAAATAGATTAACGGTTACTAAAAGAGACCTTAAGTTGTACATAGTTACTATAATAAGGCCTTTAGTGGCACAAAGTTACTAAAGAAGGTCTTTAGTAATAGTTACTAAGGGCCTCTGTTAGTAACCGTGAAACGATTTTGGGTGACAAAACCTCATTCTTTTAGTCAGATAAAAGCGTGGAAATTGTCTTTAACATAACAAATGCAATGCTTCTTTTAGTGAAAATGTATATAAATCAAAACTGCCCTCAATCGGTCCTACAACCCTGTTAATTCCATTTTTCGCCGACCCTTTTAGGAATCAAAGTAAAATAAATATAATACTAATATTTAGTATAAATACAGTCATGTTTGTATTTTTTAAGATATGTTTAAGAACTGAAGATGGTTGGAATTAAGATAAGGTTTTTCTCCGCTGGCTCTTGAACTATAATTTAATACTTTCGGTTATACTGACATGTGTATTTTCAATTTGAAAATGTAACAGCATATTTATTATACATGGAATTCAAACAACAATACAACATGTTTTTCCACGGACATATAAAAAAAAAGTAAAAAAAAAACATAATACTCCTCATTCCTTGTTACAAATGAAAGCCTCAATATTGTAACTTTAATCACACACTTTTTTGCATAAAATTACGTATAATCCGACCAGAAATATAAAACCCTCGCCATATTGCGGATAAAAATGGAACTAATTCCTTTGCGCATAATAGACAGTGATAAAGAAGCCGATCAAAGCGCCTTCAGACCAGGATTTTGATATTCTTGGTTAAATTATATACTATCCACTTCCACGTAAACTATCGTTTGTTTGAAAAACTATTGCAAAGTTAACTTCAAATTTATATAGAAATTAATATTTATAAAGTTATTTAAAGAAACAGGTAAATCGCAGTTTTACGATAGTGTACATAGGAGTCCGAATAATGGCAGCCGTCTAAGTATATAATATTTCAGCAGCAATTTGAATACAATAATATGCATACCTCACTAAAAGAAGCCTCGTGATAAATTTAATTGCCTTCAATAGCTTTAGCAACAAACTCAATAAAACGTTTGCCATATTGCTCTGGGTCACAGGTCGATATGCCGTCAACATTACTGCCGTATTTCACAGTTTTCGCTGCCTTCGCCGCCTAAAAAAGAAAAAAAATATAATAAGAATTGGTTGTTTTTCGCCGTAATAGCGAAGCGAACTGATGTCTATGGGCACCTTTAATCGATGGATAAGGGACAAACAGAAAAGAGATTATTTCACTTTTCTATGCGTCTATTATTTCGTCGAATTTCCCCTTCCCATCCTTTTTATAATAATAGGGTGGAAAGGAAAAGATTAAAATTGATGGTCGCTTTATTTAAATCTATATTTACCTGCTTTTTAACTCCGTAATGTGTGAGCACATCGATTAGGGCGACAAAGTATATTTCTTTTTTAGGTGCACCTGAAATAAGACATAATAAAAGATTAACAAACAGCGTAAATATATTAAAAATATTTTACATACTTCATTAAGACTTTAAGTTAAAACATAATTTTAACTTTTATTTTTTCTATAATAACGACAAATGCAACGTACTAAAGTTAAATTCATATTTAAAATTGAATAAGCATCATTAAGGGTGTAACAATTATAGTTAATAATAAAAGTATGTAAATTATAGGTTTGATAGAGGAAGGGACGCAAACGAAGCATGCAATTGCGGATATCTAAGGTCGAATGCAGATGGCTGCTTGCTCGTTTGCCAGCATATAATATAAAAAAATGCGTATGTTACCATCCTGGCTCGGTATAGCGTATATATCCAGGTCGGGTATGATGCCCTCGTAGCGCAGCGCGTGGCGCGCGAAGCCCCGCGGACTGTCCGGCGGCGTGTTGTAGCCCCACCTGCTGACAGCGCGCTCCGTTCACACACACACACACACACTGCCAGGGGGCCCTCAGGGACCCTGTCACGTATATTAAGGTTCACTTATAGTTGTTCATGTTCATTGTCACGGTAGTTAAGGCCCTGAATTTAAGTATTGTCGACAGGAATCTACATCAAGGGCCTCTCTTTTTTTTCTAGCTCTACAGCCCTTTGTGGGCCTTGGCTTGGTCCAGCAATTTTAAGGGCCTTTCTCAGTAACTATTAAATCAAATTTGATTACTGTGTTTATTTATTTTAAAACATGTAAAATTTATACAATTACAATTAAAATGTCTATAAACCCATTGTTTAGTCTTACCGTGGGTTTCTGACAACAAAAATTCGGAATAAGATCATTTTATTTTACCAAACAGAGATAACAATATATTTTAAACGGAGATTTTGGTCTCAGAAAGGTAAAGGCTTGTCGGTGTGCATATCAGAGATGTCGGTGTGCATGTCAGAGATGTCGGTGTGCATGTCAGAGATGTCGGTGTGCATGTCAGAGATGTGTCGGTTGTCGGTATCACTGTCGCTGTCGGTGTCGGGCTCGCTGTCGGCCTCTGCCTCGCGTTGTCGCGCCGCCTCCGCCTCCGCCTCGCCGCGCCCGCACTCGTGCACGCCCAGCAGCAACGAGTAATCCATTAGGTGGAGTTTTGTTAGGAACTACGACAAACAATTCATTTCATCACCAGAGGGCGCTAATAATAAAACTATCTACATCTGAGATAAAGTTATCTAGCTCGGTGAAAGTCGCTGTCATATATCTAAAACTATAGGCACAAAAAATGACACACAAGACATGACGAGACAGCGACAACATGACATAGCACTTTGACATTGAAAGAAGAGCGATTATCAAAAACTAAAATATAAACGGCAAAATCACGTATATCAGATGCGAGCAGTGAGCTGAGGGCCGCGTCCGCCCCATTCACCCTGATGAAGGTCCCCCGATGGGCTCGAAACTAGTCTGTGCCAACACCTGACAATACGTAAGTGTTTTAGCCGTTTTTATATTAGTTTTTAAAATTTAGTTTCACTCAAGCCCAAATTGTCTTCGCGATCCAACCACCAAGCCATCAGTTGTACGTTATCCATACACACCTCAACATCAGCGGTGAGGGTCTCCAGCAGCTTGTCTTTGGCTGCATCACCGATGTCAATCCTGACGCCTTGCTTAATAAAGTCGTTGTCCTTTAACGTGGGCAACTCCTTCTCTAACTCCTTCTCTGAAGCCTCTCGGTCCACCGTCGATCCCTTCAGATCGTACTTTCTAGAAACAAGGAAATACAAATCTATTATATGTACTAGCTATCGCCCGCGACCCCGTCCGCGCGGGATTAAAAATAGATGTTGGCCGATTCTCAGACCTACTCAATATGCTCACAAAATTTCATGAGAATCGGTCAAGCCGTTTCGGAGTTGTATGGGAACGAAAATTGTCACACGACAATTTTTTATATAAGATATACAAGAAATGTTTTTGTTACCTATAGTTCAATAAAGATCCAACTAGCTCAAGGGTTCAAGTCATTGACTGCAAGCTACCTTTTGATTTTTTTCAGTCGCTAAAATTATTTTAAAAACGGCAAAAACTGCCACTTTCGAAGTTCCGTAGCATTAAGCAGCTACCAATCAGAGAAATATCGTGTTCTTTGTTGTCAAAAAACGCATAATCATTGGAAAGTAGGAACATGTACAGTCAGCTGCATAAACATTACAAAATTTAGAATCTTGTAGTCGCCTTCGGTTACAAATATAAGCATGCACGTATTCGTCAGGACAGGCGACTTTGGCCAAGACCAATCAACGGAGTAATTAAATATTATAAGTACGTATTTATCACGGAATGGTCGAAAGCATAAGTACTCATACGTATTTTTGTAGATGACTGTACATATGTTTGTAGGCATTTCTGACTTCCAAACTATTAGTACCTACTTTGCGATTAGATAATTGGTAGTACTACCTACCTGTGTATATTCAGGTGGTTGGAGAACACATTCCTTGTAGCTACGAGGTAGTGCTCAATACCGTCCACCGTCAGCCGGTACATGCCGAGGTACTGCGGCAACAGCGTCTTACCATGCCGCTCCACTATGTACTGAACGACAAATAATATATAAGTTCTTCTATATTAATATTAAAAAGATAAAATATTTTGTCTGTTTGTTCGTTTAGCATTCAGAGGCCAGGCCAACTATCTTAGTAATATTATAAAAGTGAATGTTTAATTGTATGGATAGATCCAGAACGATTGCAAAGATCTTGCTGAAATTTGGCATAGTAGAACATAGAGCCTGGAAGAACACATAGGCTATTAATGAAGTTTTTTTTAATTCCGCGCAAAAGACGCGGGCAACAGCTAGTAGGCTTATAAATCTATAGGCAAATATTTATATTTTCCACTAGGGAACTATTTCAGTTGTTAAATAGTTGAATACAAATATACAGAAATCTAGTAGACTAGGTTTTTTTTAATAATATTTTGCTGTCACCAATTATCATGATATCTGTACAATTCCATACAAATTGTAAGATACAGAGAAACCGTACGACGAGATTAGATAACTACGGTATGAGCTAATACTTAGAAACAAAAATACGCATTTATACTTCAATTAATCGCTTTAGTAAAATATTAACTTAACCGCGAGTACATACGCGTGGAATTAAAAAAAATCTAGTAATAAATGTAGCCTACATTACTGAGTGATATTTTTTTTTTATATCAGAAGGTGGCAAACCAGCGAGCGGCCACCTAAAATCGCTGAAATAGCGAAGTTACCGTTGCCCATAGACATACGCAATTGCATATGCGTTGCCTACCTTTAATTGACGGAGGAGAGGATGCACAGAAAGAAAACATTTTCCCTTTCCATGCATCCTCTCATCTGGAATGTCCACAGCCACTTCCCATCCTTTCCTTATTAGAGAAAAAGGGTAGGAAAGGAAAGAGGACTAAATTAGGCCTCCGGGACGCACACTCATCAGACGAAACGAGGAATTGCTTCCACATCATGCCTGTCTTCTGTGTGGTCGTGGTATTTCACCGGGCGAACCTGGCCAATTCATGTGAAGATGTTAAAGCGGGCTCTACCACTGTTAAAATGGTAGAGCCCGCTACATGTATTTATCTAATGGCTAAAGAATGTTTGAAATTGTACCAGTAGTTTTTGAGTTAATTAGTTACATATAAAAACTCAAATTCCAACTCTTTATAACATTACTATAATTCTATTAAATACTCTATTTTTTACTTCTACCATTTTCTCTATAGCTCATATCATAGCTTTCTCCTGCTAAACGTACATTAAGTTTCTCTTTAGGGAACACATACCGTGGGTTCCTCAGACCTTAATCCCAGTTTACAATATATTGTTATCTTTGTTTTTTCAAAGATAACGACAGAGATGACGATATATTTTATACGGAAACAAACGATAGATGACTCAAGACAGTATACTATAAATATAAACCAAAGATTTATAATTAAACATTTCTTCTTAAAACCTACCACATAAGTTAACTTAACCTGTAGCCTACAATTACTACAGTTAAACCATAAATAAGAATAAATTTATTTCACAAAAACACGTTAGAATAAAATACACTGAAATATCTTGCAGACCGCGAACTAGGCTGAGCCTGTATCGGGGCCTAGGAGTGCACTAACCATGAACATAATAACAGTGTGTACATATCATGTAAAACTAAGCGTGATATTATGAGATAAAATTTGGAAAATAAGAAAATACATGAAGACATTAAACTAAGTAATTTTGAACTGCAAATAATATCAAAGGATAGCATAACATATACATAGTAAAATAGCACAAAATAAGTAATAAAGAAACTAAATAACATATAGCTATTAACATCACCAAATGATCTAACACATTTTAATGATTTAAATTCTACTTCAATACAGAATACGTCGTTATACATGTTAATGACAGTGAGCCTAACAAAATACCTTTAGAATACAAATTACAATCGATGGGAACCGCAATATACACATCTTTTTTTTTTTAATTGAGAACAAAATACGCAAAATATTTTTTTTTTAAATACACTCGGAAATCAGTCCGGCCGTTTAAGGATTCAATGATACCAACATAAATACTCTTAAATATAATACTGCCAACTGTAGCGCGCGACTCCGTCAAGGATGATATAAAAAAAAACTTAAAACGTAGCCTATGTGTTCTTCTAGACTATGTTCTAAATCTGTGCCAAATATCATCGAAGATCGTAAAGATCTAGATTTCGAATGCTATTAATAAATATTATATATATGCATATATAAATGAATATATGAAAAAATGCGTTGCGAAAAGACCTTCTAACAAAAATCGATCCAAACATTCGCATTTGTATTATTAGTAAGAAGTAAGATAAGTTTATTACAAAAAAAAAACAAGTGACAACATTCAGGTAAAAGAAACTAATCTTATGACACCTCATTAGTCGAAACTTTGTGCTATAGGAGACGATGAGACATACACAAATAACAGACCGCGCAAAATACATAACCCTTGTATCAGTCGGTTAAAAATGTTACTATATAATAGGGCAAATATCTCGCACAGAGTGCTCACTGAAGCACAACGCACACGAAGCAAGTAATTTAATTTGATCAGAAGGTCGGATCGTTTAAAACAGAATACAGAGCATCTTAATGTCTTCACAGTTGCTATGTTACTGTCATTATATTAAACATATAATGAGTTCATAATTTTGTAATCGACACAGAATAAATTAAAACTATAGCCCTAATAAATTCTATATTTATGACTAAAGAAGCTTTCTCCCATGTCTTCGTAAGCAGTGAATTAAAAAAAACGAAAAAAAATAGTAGTCTATGGTCTTCCAGACTATATTATATATTGTATGGCAAATTTCATTGTAAACCGTTCAGCCGTTCTGGAGATACCAACAAACATCCATACATCCACCCATGTAAACATTCACATTTAATATTAGTAAGAAGTAAGCTAGCTTTCACACGCGTCTTTCTCCGCGTGGAATTAAAAAAAACCTTTAGTAGTCATCACCTATGTGTCTACTTACCGGATGATAATGTTTGAGGAAGGAGTGCATCCTTTCCACCTCCTCTGAAGTGAGGGTCTTCAAGATGAAGAGACGATCGTAGCTCTGGTAGAACTTGGCGCCCGACTTGCCAGACGAATCATCCGGAATAGGCTGAGATCTGTCGACAAAAGGCAGTACTTATTTACTAAACTAATCACGAGATAAATCACTTGTACAAAAATCAAAAACATTCGATCTTATAAGGACACCATCACACTGTTATTAAAAAGACAATAAGTAAATTGTAGAAAAAACCATTTCACAGAGCATGGAAGACGCGTAAACCTCATTGAAAGTAACCTCATTAAAAGAAATCTTGGCGGCTCAAGGACATCGACGCGCTGCGTAGTACCCTTAACCCGCTACGTCGCAACACACCTAAAATTGTCTTAGTCAATTCAAAATGCGAGTAAATACTAAATTATTCGACCTGTATATGTTTACTCCAATCGCAAAAACCTTGATACTAGAAGTATTAGGATGAGTTTCAATAAAAATCTATATGTCTCTAACCTTTGCTGAAAAATGCAGTTTGAATATTAATTTCTTTGAACTATTGACTTCCACATATAAAGCAAATTATCGATAAAGTTATGTGCAATGTGCATCACACTTGATAATTTATTGCTTTGCTAAATTTGACTAATAAAAAAATTGCGACATAAACGGTTGTATCTTTTGATTACGTTGGTTTAGAAGTTTTATTTTTTCACAGGATCAAGGGACCGCAGACCTGAGTATTTGATATAAATTCCAGCTTGATTTCTTGACGCGTTTTTGAGAAAAAGGGTCTTGACAGGCAGACGGACGGACAACAAAGGGATCGTAAAAGGGTTCCGTTTTTTCGTATGAGGTACGGAACCCTAAATAGGGCTGCAAAACATTTTATACTTTATCATAGATCTTAATAAAAATTAAAAACAAAACAATCATATTTTGATGTATTTTTAATACATTTATCTCTCAACTGATATATAAACACGGCTAAACACTCACGTATATTCGTCCGGTGGCGACACCGACTAGTTTCGAGCCCTTCGGAGGCCCTTCATCAGGATGAGTGGTACTGGTATTATTTCACGGACGCGGCCCGTCGCTCACTCTGATGAAGGGCCCCCGATGGGCTCGAAACTAGTCGGTGCCACCGGACGAATATACGTGAGTGTTTAGCCGTTTTATATATCAGTTTAGTATAATGTCTCACGAAAGTTTGAATAATTTAATATTTATCTCTCTATTATTTTTATTAAATATATTTCAGTAATAAACAACAATGTAGTAACAAAACTTCAACTCAAATAGATAAAAGCTTAGTATAAATTCACAATTCACATATACATTCAAATGTAAACCATTGGCTTTCATTACCAACAAATTTTACGTGTGTTTCTTCAATGAAAACCCACGATAAATGAAAGAATCATAATCTATCTATATATATAAAAGAAAGTCGTGTTAGTTACACTATAACTCAAGAACGGCTTTAGCGATATGGCTGAAAATTGGTGAGGAGGTAACTTAGAGCCAGGACACGGACATAGGATACTATTTAATCTTTTTTTTTTCGAATTTATGCTTTGAAGAGCTGCTTTATATTTAACTTACTAATATTATAAATGCTTAGATTGCTGTGATGATAGATGGATGGGTGTTTGAAGATATCTATAGAAAATAGTCTGAAAGCACACATAGGCTACAATAATTAAGTTTCTTCATATATCCACGCGAACGGAGTCGTAGGCGACAGCTACTTTGTATTAAAACGAGTGAAGTGTATCTTTCCGCGATGTCAACCTTCGGTTTTCATAAAAGTAATAAAATATGTTATCTTATTTGCAATATCCAATATACCATTAGATATGTATACAATTTCCTTTGATTATCTATCACATAGTATCTACTATGATAACCTTCAACTGTACTCCAAAAATTGTAAAACATTTATCGTACTTTCGTCACATTTATCATAAAATTAGTTGAATAATCATCCGATTCCCAGCCGTTTAAAAGTGTATTTTGCTAATATAAATGTGAAAGTTTAGATTAGTCTTTACCAAAGTGGGCGATAACGCCCCAGACCCAGAAAGAAAATGGGGGCGTTGTGTAGAGGCCTGGAGGGTGATTTGTAATTTTATTTAGCTAGGAGTTCTCTTAGACAACGACTGCATGAGCTCTCGACTCTCAACAACAACTTGTGAACATCAACTAATATGCATTAAAAGATTGCTTAAACTCTAATATGGGGGCGCTAAAAAAATATTTATTCTCAAAGTAGACAAAATAAGTTTGGGAACCACTGGTTTAGATGGATGTTCGTTAGAAGGTATCGCCGGAACGGCTCAAAGGATCTTAATGAAATTAAGCACATATGTTGCACATAGTCGGGAAGAACGTATACTTATTAAGCCGGAGTCGGGCATGTATTTCCTATATACATAATGCTAACTATGAACCTTAAGAGTAAAGGCAGACGTACACGGACTATTCTTACTTCAGCTTCAAGGTGTCGACATTAACTTATTCAATCTTAGTTTAAATTTATAATCATACATAGTAAAAACTTATTTAATTGTTTATATTTTAGATTGTATTAGAAACAACGATTGTTTCAAGCAGGAGTTTTGGAAAGCTCTATAGGGTAAGTGTATTGTTCACGACATATATCGATCGTTTTAAAGACAAAGACGTATTACGAGGTCATTTCAACGTTACAATGGTGTAGCCAAGAGACCAGCTGTTCCCGTTCCTTAGAGTATTTAAAAAATTTAAAATAAATATACCAAAATAAAATACTAAAATGCCAATAGTATTTAGATAATTATACGTTTAACGATCGTTAGCATTAGTAACAAAGAACGTAGTATAAAGATAAGAAAAACGATTAGAAAACAAGATCAATGTAATATACATAGAATAATATAATCGATAATTACATTCTGAATTTATATCGATTCCGCAAACTTGTATATATTGATAGATACGGTATCGCAAGCTATGATAATAATCAAAAGAAAATCTGAAATCGGTAATATAATATCAAAAAGAAACAACCATAAAATCCGATAGACTACAGTCTTTATTTACACCTTGGGTCGATCATGGGAAGATTAATACAAGAATACAAGAGTCGTTTAAACAAAAAGTCTCTGAGGAATCGACACATACGAATCCAAATGTAAACACGCGAATAAAACCCTCCCAAGTCAGCCAGGTAATAAAACAAAACCAAACCAATAAATAAATTAGAATTAATCTCACGAACAGAAGTAGCCCGATGATCGGTCACAGAGGACAAACCAGTCGTTATATCAAGTTCAAAGTCGAATTTTATTGTATAGTATTTAGTAACGCAAACTAACGTGAGAGCATAAGCGCAATCTGTGCGGATAGTGACTACCTACTACGTGACTAATACGCAAAAACCTTGCCATCGTTAAATTCCACATCCTGTATAATGCTAGCACAACCCTAAATTGTTAGAAGAAAGCTTGATTTAATTATACAGCGTGTCCAATAATGTGTGCAACACAACGTTTTTTTACCTATAAGGAACTAAATAATTTACTGGATAATTTCTTTAACCTTTTGCTGTGTGCCTACTAAAGTCATACAGACTTAAGATGGTAGAGTAAGGTGAACCGCGTCTCACTCAGTATCTTTGATGTTCTATATAACTGTTAAAAATGAAAATTTTAATATGAAACCTACACCGTAAATATCCTTTAAAACCTGTTTATAACTTATGTCTGTCTTACATGTATATTATACAAAACACTGTGCAATTTGTCAGCTGTGTTTCAAGTGCGATTCGCCGGGTGATGTAGCGTTGTGAGTATTGTTACATTTAAAACAAAACCAAGGGAAGGAGAGGGGCCACGCATCGAAACACGGAAATAGTGATGGGACAATGGATTCGTATTAATATCGATTAAAAATTAACCCTCACATGGTTTAAAAAAATTAACAATGGATGTAAATCCATCGTATTTTAATGTTACATGGGCAAAAGGGGCCAGTGATTTTGTGGTTTGCGAATGATGCATTTTGCTGTGTCAGTTCGGATAGCACACTAAATACTGTTATTTATAAAAAAAATGTAAAAATAATTCGTACAGCTGCTAAAAACTCCGCTGACCTCAGGCGTTTTATCGTCAAGCCACGTTTGACGAATGCACTCGCATCATGGAATAATCCTTCTTGGTGAGTTTCATTTTTCATGTTGGCAACACTGGACGGTGCTGTCTCAGATCGTCGTAATTTACTGGCAAACCTCTTCATTGCCCTTGAGCACAGGTAGTTATCTGGCTTTCTAAACCTAGGGTCCATGGGAGAGGTAGGAAAAGGGATACGAGTCCGAAATAATGGAAATAAAAAATAAATACCATACTTATTATATAGATAGCTATAGACAAGAAAGTACTTTTTTAGCAACAGTGTGTTTTACTAATAACTATTTGATTGTCTGTAATAATTATTTACCTTGTTAGTGACTCCTTATAATCTAGGTCATCAATCCCAAATCTCTCCCGTAGATTCCTGAACACTAACGGGCAGTATTCCTTCACTTTAAAATGAGATGGCATGTTTTCCCTGAAAAAATATTTTAACTACATTTCATAGCAAAATAAATATACCATTTAATAATTCCATAATTTAAATCTTACTAATATTATAAATGTGAATGTATATATGGATGGATGGATAGATGTTTGTTTGAAGATATCTTCAGAATGGCTGAATGTATCTTGATGAAATTTGGCATACATGTCTGGAATAACACAAAGGCTACTAATTATGTTTTTTTTTAACTTCTTTCAATTGCGTTAATACAAAACACATAAAGTTACAACAATTACGTCATAATCAACTTCATTATTTGTAATATTCAGCCTCCAAAGCGTTCAGATGAGTCTTTCATTGTTATCAGTAAACACTTGAGATATAAAGAAATGCAGATAACACATATTTTATTCATGGTGCAAGTTGATGGACTAAATTTATTATAATTCTATCTATTAATCTTCAAGTAATTGAAATGGCTAAACAGACATGTACTGAGTTTGAAGTTGTCTCCAACTAGTTTTAAACAAATCAGAGGTCTCTGGTGAGTGATTGTTGACACTAGATTAATTTTATGTAAGTTTAGGTTTTTACTATGAATAAATCAGAGCTTGACCGCAACCCCTGATGTTATGTGTTGATGTGGTTGGAATATATATTAAAAATAATATCTTTTGAAACATTGGACTATTTAATTTTTCGACATCCTTGTTTATGGTTACAACACAGATTACCGATCCATTCGATGATGTTAAAACCACTTCTGTGTGTGTGTAAAAATTATGTGACTAAAAAATAATATAAATTACTTACTTATTAAATAAATGATTGTCAACTTTGAGCTTTGAATAAGCTCTGAAATCATCGGGCAGAAGCATAACTGGAATTGAGACATGGCTCAGCTCATTAATCTGAAAAAAAAATTCTATGACTTTATTATAGTTTGGCAATAAAAACATCTGTCATTTAACAATAATGATAGACTATTTATACTACAACAAGGATAAGTAGGCAGGAATTGAATAAGTGCCAGAAATGTTAAAGATAATGTACTATCAAAATTACACAATTTGATTTTAACATAAAGCACTGCGATATAATTGCCGGCTTTAATATCGTCGCACATTAAAGTAAGGAGCGTCTTTAACCAACGAAACAATTAGTTACACTCAACGAAAATTTTGTTATATTTAAATAAAAATATAATTACCGTATGATTAACACCCCACATAAAAACAGATAGTAATGGTTCATTCGCACGAAACAATTTCACTTTTTGATGTTTTACACGAATATGTTTCTTCTTTAACTTGCTCAATCCTGTGGTGGGTACGGACATTTTGGATTTGTTTATAGTAGTCACTGCAAAACCACTCAATAATATTTATATCACGACAACTTGTTTAAACCATCTTTAGACGGCAAAACAAAGAAATAATACACAATGAAAGCAGTAAATTAATAATTTAACACAGAAACGAGCGACCCATCAATATTCCGAACGGCTTTTTGACAGCAAAAATTCTAATATGAATAGTATTACCAGCTTAAAATATACTGTTTTTAGACTGTCAATAAATCGTCGCCGTTAAAATATTTTTTGTCCTTTTCAAACAAGTCTTTCAGATCCCACCATGAAACTTACTATGATTGTATAATTTCGTCCTAATGTGAAGGCACTCACTGATTTGATTTGTCATTGTTAGTGAATTTAGTAAACAATATTTGGGACGTTGTGACTACTGAACACTAGCAACCATAGCAAGAAACTGTCAAATTATGATAAGCAGATTGTCAGCTTGACACTGATATGATATGAATCAATTTTTGTGATTGTGAATTTCTCTGAAATTAAATCGGAAATAGAGAAATATTTTGTCCCAAGATGGTTGTGCCTAGTCCATTTGTATATTGGGCTCAAACTGATAAGATAATAACCTTGAAAATTGATTTAAAAAATGTCGTCAAGCCCGACGTAGATATTATTGATAATAAGATAAAGTTTTACGGAAAAGGTATCGGTGCGCACGGAGAAACTCAGTACGGATTTAGTTTAGATTTGTTTTCATCACTTAAGTCCGTAAGTACATGAATAAACCTTAAAAATATCGTAATTTTGGACAATTCTGAAAAAGTGATCTGAACACCACCTGGATGTCAACGCCTCTGAAGTTCCTCTGGTGTTGCAAATGTCCATGGGCGTCGATCACCTCTGTGTTCCCATCGCTCATTTCCCCCCTCTCTTATAAAAAAATAATAAAAAATAATTTTTAATCAAACAACATATTTTTCCATCATTTCAGGATCATGAGCAAAGTCCTACAATTAGACTTTATGATAATAGAGTGGAATTGATATTAAAGAAAGAAAAAGATGCTTGGTGGCCCCGACTTACAGCACAGCCCCAAAAGCCCGCATGGTTGAAGGTAATTCATACCTCTACTTGATTTTAGTGATTTAAATATTTATCTGTTTCTATTTTACTTCTTGGGATATTGATATTCTACATTGTAAAGCTTATGTAAACACTAAGAAATATTCTTGTAATATATATCTGTATGTAATATAAAAATAGAATTAGTCTAAACTCCAGAAAATATAGACTTATTTTGCAGAAAAGAAGCTGACACATGTGGCATTTTATGAGCTACTTTTTTTTGCGGTACTGATGATGTTGAGGGTGTTTGTTAGCCTCAAATAAAATATCAAATTCCTCATAAATCTAACATTTCTTCAAAAGTATAAAATAATCCTTTAATACTGTTAAAGAAATGTAATACTTTTGATGACTTTGATATTTCATTTGTTTAAAGAAGTATATTTATATTATTCAAGATAACATTAGAGACGGATTAAGAGATAATGTGATATTTTTTAGATTAATTTTGACCTTTGGAAGTCAGAAGATGGTGTAGATAGTGATGAGGAAGCAAGAGATGTAATGAAGGACTATCCCGGAATGTATGATCAACTTCATAAGGAAGAAATGGGCTATAGAAAAGGTATATTATATTACTAGAATATCTTATAAATCTAAGCATCCACAACTGTCCCTGTACCATGTAGTGTATGCATATACATAGTGTTTGTCTCGAGCTTACACATCATAAGTTCATGTCGAAGAGAGGGGGCATCAGCCGATGTCAGATCTTTGGACCGGCAACACATGTCTGTACATGAATGAGCCAAATATAATACAACAAATGCTACAGAATATATCAAATTTATGTTAAAGATGCATTGTTCTTCCTGTTCTGTCAATTTTTGTTCCCCTTTTCATCTCCTAATAAAACTATTGTTATTACTTAGACTAGGACTATTGGATCACTACAACTGAATACAATTTTTTTTTGGTTATATATAAATGGCATGTCATGAAGTCTTATGTCAATCTTATGATAACTAAAATGTTTGAATACAACAGAAATAACACATTGATTAATTAAGTTGAACGAGACAATATAAAAAATTGAACCCACAAAACATTCCAGTCAAGAAAATATGTTACAGATCTTTCAAATAGATTATGAAAGTAAAATAATTTTATTTTATTACAGAAGATTTTAAAAAAGTATACTTGATAGTATACAATTTATTCCAATTCATTGGTTTTACTTATGTACTTGCGGTGATGGGTGTGCGGTATGCTAAACTGGAGTACGAATCTGTTACGGACACATATGAACATGTAGGCTCCGCTATGAAGTTCCTACAGCTAATGCAGTATCTGGAAGTTATGCATCCAATGTTTGGATATACTAAGGTAGGCTTTAAACGATTTCTAACAACACAACTCGACCAAAGGGGTAGTCAAAAGATAAGGAATATTCCTAAATTTTATTGGTTAAAATTCTTTGAACAAATTCTTAACTAATATTTAGATGGATAGATGTATGTTTGTTTGAAGGTGTCTTCAGATGGGCTGAACGGATCACAATGAAATTTGGCATACATATAGAACATAGTCTGGAAATACACATAGGTTACTAATTATGTTTTTTTTTAATTCTTTGCGGATTAAATCGCGGGCTACAACTAGTTGTTAATAATACTTTCCGTAGGGAATAGATTAAATCTATAGTTTCAATGTAAAATTTCTTTATATTTCAGGGTGGTGTGTTGGTACCATTTTTGCAAACAAGTGGTCGTGCATTTGTATTGTTTGTAATGATAGAGGCTGAACCCAGAATGCAGACGAAACCTGTTGTGTTCTATTTGTTCTTAATATGGGGTCTAATTGAAGTTGTCAGGTAAATTTTATTTTAATTAAATTTAAGGATGTATAGATGTTTGTTTGAAATTTGGCATACATATAGAACATAGTCTGGAAGAACACATAAGCTACTTATAATTTTTTTAATTCAAAGCGGACAGAGTCGCGGAGGACAGCTAGTCTTCATATAAATTTAATTTACGATGTTAGGTAACCATAATCAAATATAATGAAATCACTTCATTTAAATGAAACTTTACATACAATGGACATCAAAACAATTGTTTGCGAAAGTCATTCTCTGATTACAAAATTTATTACAGAATCCTATTTAGTAATATTTACATAAATTTATTTCAGGTATCCATTCTACATAACTCAGATATACAAGAAAGAGATTTATTTGCTGACATGGTTACGCTACACTCTATGGATACCACTCTATCCATTAGGAATACTCTGTGAATCCATTGTTATTCTACGCAATATCCCATACTTTGAAGAGACACAGAAGTTTTCAGTATCAATGCCTAATGAATGGAACTTTGCATTTCATTTACCGTCTTTAATGAGAGTATATCTTTTAGTTTTGACATTCCCCGGCATGTTTTTCGTTATGAGTCACATGCATAAACTAAGAACGGTTAAACTTAAACCAAAAGTAATTATAAAGAAATCTAAGTAAATGTTAAATATATGGGTTGTATGCAATTTTCTGATTTGGTTATTTAAATTTTTATGTAATATTCAATTGATTACATCAAGAAGCATAAATCTATTTGGCATAAACAATTCTATGTTTTTCACAGATACAAAAGTTTATGTGTGTGTATTTTGTTTATATATTTTTAAATTTAATCATTTCATAACATGGGGAAATGGTTTAGTTAACTGTGTGAATTTTTTTTTAGTAAATAAAATTAATTTGTTTAATCTGTGGTTTGTGCATTTAAATCAGACATTATGTCTTCAATTATAGGTGACTTTTTATTAAATATTATTCAATTCCGGACAGTGCAATTAACAATATTAAAAGAACAAATTATTATTTTAAACTTCATAAATATTTGAAACTGTAATAAGATGAGCTTACAGAAATGTGTAACTACTAAGTTTTAGTACTAAGTTTTCTAGAAGTGTATTTGAATTTTAATTGTAAACATGTGTTTCCACTGCCAGGACATCTGTACAAAACTCTTTCATATGAAATAAACAAAGATAACTCTGTTTTTTCATAAATTTCGATATAAGTTTATTCGTTTTTTCCCAGTGAAAACGCACGCTAATATGAAGTAAGAAAATGACATTTATTTATAAGCTTTGTTATGTTTCCAATGTGAATGTTTTTTTTTACGTTTCCAAAAAACTTTTATTTGGTAAATTAAAATAAACAATTTGTTTTAACTATGTTTATTATTATCCTCCCCAAATATGTTTCCGCGCGCACACAATCACAGGCAAGAGTTAGTTACAAATAAAAAAACAATCTCCAATAAAACAAAATTTATTCATTGCAACTACATAAATTACATCTGCACACAATTTTGACTAATTTAGTCCATTTCTCAATATGTTTTCATATGAACAGATTAACAAATTAACTTTGCAACTTAATTAAGCCTGTTGGCTAAGTATTGAGTAATAGACCAAAATAACTGCTTAAGAGCGCAGTTTAATATAAGCTCTCCTAAACCAATCTACTGGGTTGGTGTGTGCATAGTATTCATGGAAGATTGGCTCCACAAGAGTGTCTTGGGGCACAAGCTTGTATACAGGCTCACCATAGTATGTACCAACCTGAAAGATGGAAACAAATGAAAAGGAAGTTACTGTTTGTCAACTTGCATATAATAACTATTAAAAAAAAATATGGGTTTTTAAGGTTTCTGAATAAATTAACAAATATTTATTTAAAAAAAATTTAGGGCACTGCAATAGTGCGAGTTTTGTATGAAATATATAGGTCAATATGTTACCTCCCATCCAGGAACATCTTTCATTAGTTCAGCCTCTGCATCCCGGTTTCTTCTGAGTTGCTTCAAGTACTCCCTGTCGCGTTCAGCCAATAACATCGGGTAAATGGCCATCTTTGAGGATCGCATTTCGACCTCATGTTTCTGGATTCTTAGTGCATTTAATCGATACAAATAGATTGCACCAATGGTCATACCAATGTAACCAGCGAATAGAGTGTACCCTTTGCAAATAATATTGATAAATTAGGTACTTAAAGATTTGATAAGTTTACATTTAACAAAACTAGAATTTTAAATATTGATTGTTTATTATTGCTGCAAATCCTAACAACATAACCTGTATGGCATATTACATAATATTACAAAAAATCATGAATTTTATAAACCATTATTATACTTACCACTAAAGTATTGTTTAGCGGGTACTCTTTTAAAAGGAATCGGTTTATAGCCCCCCGGAGGAGGCAAATCTTGTTTTCGAACGACCTGACAGGCATCGGCCATTTTTGGTTTTGACAATGACAGCAAAAATAATGACGGAAAATTCACATTGAATTTTTAACATTTGACGGAACTTTTTAGATGACAGTGTTTTGAGTTGTCAGAAACAAAAATAGTTTTTATTTTGCCGTTTATTAAATCAATATTTTAAATACTGCTATAGCAACGGGATGAATATTTGATGAACAGTCGTAACTTGATTTTTTTGCTAGTTTTATTGTAATAACTTTACATAACTAAAATGGATTTATCGGAGAATAAAGAACTTCAAGCTGATCTACCGATTATTGACTCGGAAGAAACGGAAATAAAAATAAGACCTGCGGAAAGAGTTAAACTCCATCCAAAAGTACCTATAGAACCATCTTCTTATGGTAAAGGTAAATTATATAGCCGACCTTGGATTCTTCAGGATGGTCGTGAGGTTCCGAATAAAGGAAGTGAAATGCGCGACAGCTTTAAAATTCCTAGGAAATCGAATGCTGGACAAGGTAATCTATACGTGTTCTTATCGTACTTACATGATATATCCAACCAATTTTTTCAATAAAACGATATTATCCGCGCAGGTATACGTAAGCGAATGTTAACAAATTTCTTTTGGGAACAAATACTGGACGAGGTGATCGAAGAGATGTCTACAGTTAACACGTCTGACGAACTTTGTACTGAGTACGATTCACATTATGTGAAAGATCAATTCGTACCACGCAACTTAGAAGAGACTGCTGATAGGACGGTAAGAAAAAATTGTATAAAATACTAATTGGTTAGTCTATGTGCCTGAAGAAAATTATAAACACTGATTTTTAAAGATGCATCTAAAGTACCCGCTGTATGGAACCGGATCTAGCGCGATTACATTCTACAGTGAGACAATGAAAAAGATCGGTCCTGTAAGTAATCGTATTATATACATACCATTGATTCTTATATGACCCAAAATAACGCATCCATTTTTAACAGGGCGAAATATTAGAAAAATTCAGAAGATGTCAATACTTTACGCGACCTATGGAAGAAAGATTGGACGATGGTTGGGTTTTATAAAACCCTCAATATAGTGAGAACTGTTATGCAATCATAGTAATATTTTTTAATTGTTATTGTATCAGATTTCTTTGCTTTTCTCTTCTCTTTTTCTGAATAATAAAAATCTTTGGTGTTGCATTTCAATCTTTCACTGTGTACTTTAATATTTACTAAACTTTCTTGCTATAACTATACGATACTGTATGAATAAGTGCGTTCCTGATATTAAATAACCGTCCAACAATTTTAAAAATAAACTTTATTGTTGCATAGAGTTGGATTAACATCTTTAAAAGAAAAAAAAATGATAAACAGGAGAACTAAGAGATTCCACATCTAAAAAATAAATTAAAACAATAAATCTTCGTCATCCCAATTATGAGGGTAGCAGATGACGTTACCATCTCCCGCGGAATCCGACTGGGATAATATCGGGTCTGTGCGTTGATACAGAATTGTGTGGAAGAATCGGGTACAAGGCGGGTTGGATGTGTCTGAAACGAGTGCTTTTTAATGAGGGTAATAAAAATTTATCTATATTTTCTGTTTTAGATTTACAATCAATAATACCGTGAGAATAGATAGACTCTTCGTCGTCGCGACTCTGACTTTGAACGATCTTTTTTTGATTTTTCTTCGCTTTTACCATTTTTAATCTATGGAATTCTTCCCTTTCCTAAAGAATAAAAAACGTTATTTTTTTGAATTTGCAATGTTCAGTTAATAAATTGCATATTGCTTACTTGTTCTCCCATTTCCATGAGTATGTAAGTTTCCGTGTTGCGTAATTTTGGCATTATAACTTTTTCGATGCCGTTTACTTTGCTGGAATGAATATCGTTATAAGGAATTGTGTACATTGAAATACACATTTAGAATACTTCCACTAACCGTAATGTCGATTTAATCGCTTCATCTAGTAGTAAACATGTGTTCCTTAGAGACGCGAATTTAACAAGAATTCGTACAGCTTCCCTGAAAGCTTTTTTAGCTTCGGTGGTGCGATGGCCGCCGGCGCCGAGTCCTGCGTACTGCAGCGTGTCACTGGCTGTCAAATCTTCTACAGCCTGAAGAGATACTGTCGCAACACCGGATATGTTTTCTGGTGTTCTAAGCACGCGGATTTGTGCCTACAATTTATTATTGAAAAATAGGTGGATATATTTTGACTACTACCAAAGAAACCTATATTTATGTCTGTATACACGCCCAAATATGGGCATATTAAAAATATTGCATCTTTCGCATTATAAGATTCGAGCCGTGAGCGCATAAATGTTTGCAGATAGCACCCAGCGTTTGAGGCTACTGCGAAATTACCTGCCCAACATTTTCAAGAACTAGTGCATTAGATTCTCCATTTGTAAATTTAATAGCTGCTAAAGATATGTATGCCTCTCTGAGAGTATGTCCCAGCACGGCTTGTGTGGCAGACATTTCCACGGCCGCCTGTCTACCCCTAATACGTAGGGCTTCGGTCTTCCTTTTCAATAATTGGTATCCACGAGTTACTTTCTCTTGACGCTGTTTAATTTCTCTCAACATGAATAATGAAGCAGTAACAGGATATCTATTTTCGGTATTCATTATTTTTTTTCCGAATATTTCCTTTTAAAAACTATTGTTGAATTTTATGACACTTTGACAGTTGTCTTTTTTTTAAAATATGAACTTCAAGAATTTCCTTATATACTTTTTCGGCATTAGTGAAAAAAGATTTAACACTTGGAAGATAAGTTGGAAGTAATATAGTAATTCAATAAGTTTCAGCATTAAAATTCAAGATTCTTTTGAAAAATAGCTAAGATCTTGTCACTATTATTTTATTTACGTAATTAAAATATTTAACACGAAGACGCAATACTTAATTTACATATTAATTGATTTAAATTAGAGTACAAAAAAAAATAAAAAGTACACATAGTATTATCTTATTATAAACATTTTCATTAACATTTTTCTATACATTTTATAAATGTTATTTATTCTTTAAATTGAAGTTCATAGATCAATTTTATCGTGGGTTTTCACCGATGAAACATTTAAACCAGTGGTTTCCAAACTTATTTTGTCTACTGCCCACTTCGAGAATAAATATTTTTTTAGCGCCCCCATATTTTATTAGTTATAGTTTAGAACTCTCCGTTAATATACATATATAAGTCACAATAAATAAATTAATTATTGTGCATATATATGTATATTAACGGAGAATTCTAAACGAAACTTTTACTATAACCCGCAACTTGAGACCTGCAGCGCCCACAAGGAGGCGTTATCGCCCACTTTGGGAAAGACTGATTTAAACAAAGACATGCTCTCTTCTTTCAAAGCGAATGAAGGGATGACATGTTTCGTCAGTGGAAACCTACAACTTTATGCATATAATTATGCTAAGAACATAGCATTACACTTAAAAATAATTACACTGCACTAACACGTTCAAACGTTTGTAGCAATTGTACAATAAAAATAATTTACACTTCAAAATACTGTATAGCATTGTCCGTGTTCACACAATTATCTACATTTAGACCGAGAACTATCAGATCACTGGTTACTACCGTCTTGTCCCAATGGAGTATTTCCCAATTGGGACAAAAATGCTGATATCATTCAAGGTCGTTGTCAAGGAAACAGTCCAACTCTCAACTGTCCTGCCAGTAATTGTAATTCCCAGCGGGCGGGGGCACCGGCATGGGAGCTCCGTTGGGAGCCACCGCCGCGCCGTATGGAGAACCCTGAGGAGACCCGAACCGAGGCCTGAACCAAGGCCTGCTGTTGTATTGGTACGGATTGTGGGCATACGCCGCTAAATTTTGACCGGTCGCATTCGGGTAAGGATTCGTCCCTTGGTTCGGTGCGAATGGTACACTGGTTAGGTTGGGCAGATTGGCAGTAGGGTACGCCTGATTCGGAGCTGGCGTGGTAGATGGTGAGAAGCTTGATTGGGGTGTATTCTGAGAGGGAGCGGCTCCCCCGTAGCTTTGGTTTGCTTGTGCCGCGGAACCATTGCCAGGGTTGTACGTTGTCGGGGATTGGGTGGTTGCTGGCTGAGTGACGTAACTCGGAGCTTGTGTGTTGTTGCCGTTGGAGGTGTTGTACGTCTGCCCATTAGTAGTCTGGCTGCCGTTTGTAAAGCCGGTCGTCTGTGTTGCGGTGGTATCGGTCGAGAAGTTTTGTTGTCCGTTATTCTGGACAGCAGTGGTATTGGATAGCGCGTAACCATCTTGTGACGACGATGAGATATAACCAGCTTGGTTTGAGGCTCCATTGGAATTGTCACTGTCCACTGCTGTGTTGGTTTGCCCGTTGCCGTTTGTTGGCGTGTCAGGATTGGTTTGATTGGTGGATATCGTGTATTGAAGGCTGGCGTTGTTCGGTGGGACGCTCATGGTGCTAGTGTTAGACTGGACCATATACTGTGGGGGAATTCCCGTATATTGGGAAGTGGGTGTGATAAATGTAGAGTTTTGAGGTAGGATTTGATGCACCGGTTGTGGTTGCGACACAGGTATAGTCTGGGCGGGATTCGCGAGCGGCGAGGTGGACGGTGCTTGTACTATTGGTATCGTTCCAGCCATAGATAGGTTAGGATTTGCAATCTGTTGACCAGCAAGTGCAGCGTTCAGTTGCTGCGCCGTGAGTTGTGAGTTCAAGTTGATTCCTGTTGGCATGTACTGTGAGTTGGGGGGCATGTTGACGGGCATGAGGGGTACATTGTATTGCATTCCGGCGGGCATGCCCAGCTGGTTGGGCTGCATCACAGTCACATTCTGCCCCGACTGCAGCATCTGCTGACTGATCAGTCCGGGTGGCAAACCTCCTTGGACTAGATTCGGATGATTCGCTGGGATCATGTAAACTTGACTGTTGGGTTGGCCGATAACTGTCGACATTTGGCCAATATTGAGAGGATTCTGTAGAACTGTCATGCCTTGGGGCACTGTTATCATTTGCACGTTCTGCGCTGAGCTTTGTATTTTATTTGTCAAATCCTGTTTCTGTCCATCTTTTGATGTCTGTATTTGTATTGCGTTGCGATCTATTTGCTTTATGTACATTCCTGTACCATCTTGCGTGATGCCCGAAGCTGAGACGCTGTTAAAGAAAATATTTATAATATAATCATAATATCAAAAGCTTATTATATTGGGTTATCATAATATTTGGTATTCATTATCATCATCAGCTCACTATACGCCCCCATTGAAGGGCTCGACCCTTAGTTACGCCTAATTTAGTCCTCTTTCACTTCCCACCCTTTTTCTTATAAAAAAAGGATGGCAAATGGTAGTGGACTTTCCGGATGAGAGGATGCATGGAAAGGGAAATATTTTCTTTCTGTGCATCCTCTCCTCCGTCGATTAAATGTAGGCAACGCATATGCAATTGTATATGTCTATGGGCAACGGTCACTTCGCTGTTTCAGCGATTTCAGGTGGCCGCATGCTCGTTTGCCACCTTATGATATAAAAAAAAAGTTACAGATGACTAGGCCATAGTCAACCGCGCTGCCCCAGTGCGGGTTGATTTCACACATATCTTTGAATATCTTCTCAGATATATGCAGGTTGCATCACGATGTTTTCCTTCACCGTAAGAACGTCGGATAAATGTACTCACTTAGTTTGTTGACCAGAAGACACATGTATGATTGTGCCGTGCGTCGGATTTATTTTCATTCCCATACTGACGACGGTGTTGTCCCTAACTGTGGAATTAAATAAAATGGTGCAACTTATAGAATTTAGAAAATTAAATACTTTCCCATTACGCTGATTGTAAATGGAAATTATTTATAAAGTAGTTTTTAATAACATTACTTGGGTTATGATTAGTACATTTAACTTAAAATTACAAATCTTCGATGCCAGGACATCTCCTTAAATATGTTGCAGAACATTAATGACCTGGTGGGTTTAATTCCATAAAATTGCAATAAATATGAATGCTACGCAAACCTTTATTTGTACGAAATTACGCAAAAGCATCGCAAAATTACGCAATTGCAACACGCAAAAATAAGAGAGAAAAACGCATATGCATTAGAAAATGATGATGTTTACGCAATAAGATAACAAAATTACGCAAAAATTTTGTTCGAGATTTAAATAATCTCACACAGAGGATTAAGGTTTAGGTATGGAAATACCAAAAGATAACTGTACAATCCCATCAACTGCGCTGCAAAATATAAAACGAAACATGAAAAACTAATAAGAAATCAAATAATATCAACTACAAATGGCTACAATAAAAAATAAACTCGGCCAATATTAAAAAAAAATACCTTAAAATACAAAATAAAAAAACGAAATAAATAAAACATCTGCATTTAAAAACGATGAACTGTCAGCCTGCAAATAAAAAAGGATCAAAACTTCTTACACCTTCTAAATTTGCTGGACTAAAGAAAATATTTCAAACGTTACTATTTGATGTTAGTCTTCAAATGGGTCAGGAACTCAGACACATAATAACCTGTGAAATAATACATGCAGGTCAAAAAACTTCCCTTTAGTGGCTATTTTATTGTCCATTGTGGCGCCTCCTAAAATCTGCGACTAAAGAAAAAGACATTCTTAAATCAAGTTATATGTTCAATAAATGTTGGTAAACGCATAAATACAGTTGAACGCTAAAGCAAAATTAAGATCAGGCTTCTATCAAAGAGTAAATGTCGCAAAATGCCCCAAAACAATATTATTTACGCAAAAATATTGAAGAGAAAGAAAGAGTAAAACCTATATGTACATTTAAAACTTCCTCTTGAGTTTAAAAACGAATTGATTCAAAATTCAACAACGAAGACAAAAAAAAACACAACAAAAGATTCACAGCAACGCTAATAAACCTTAAACTATAAATAACATTTTTACAAATAATTAAAACACATAAAGCACATCAAATAGGACAATTAACACTTTATATCAGAGAAAAAAAATCACAATTAATTTTTTTTAAACACTTTCAATGCCACCGAGTTCACTTTGGGTAGTAATGGCATTGAACGTGTTAAGTTCTCAGATACAAAGTGAGTGTAAATCTTCAAGTACCTGCAGTATTCGTCCAGGAGCGGGAATCTCTCGTCGAACTCTTATCCTGGCTTACATGCGACCTGCAGAATTATAATGCTTCAATACACCCACAATGATCATTTCCGAAGAATAAAAAATGAAAAAAAAAAACATCTTAATAGTAATTCGAAAGAGTTTTTCTTTGTTCTTTGTTTAAACCTTATGAAGGGAAAATAATTTAGAAGAAACGCCAATTGCATTTTTTATTATAATTCATTAGACCCAATCATTAACCGTGGGTTTCTGACGCCAAAATCTCTGTATAAGACATATCTTCAACCCTGTCTTTCATCTTTAACATAACAGAGATAGCAATATGTTTTACACGGAGATTTAGAATGTAGAGAATTTGGACTCAGAAACCCACGGTAAATGGCGCGCGATACGATGTTTTTAATAAATTTAATTTCTATTGCTCATCGGCAATCACGCGACGATCACGCGTCGTCAAAGCGTCGCCTCGAACGAGCTGCTACAAAATGGTTCTAACGAGCAATAACCATCAAATAATAATTAATATTTTTTATTATTAATAAATGTACAAGATGAAATTGGAAAACGTGACACCGCATTTA